AGTTTATAACAATGCTATATGCTATTAGCAATACAAGTTTATAACAATGCTATATGCTATTAGCAATACAAGTTTATAACAATGCTATAACAATACAAGCTTGTAACAATGCTATATGCTATTAGCAAAACAAGTTTATAACAATGCTATACTATTAGCAATACAAGTTTATAACAATGCTAAATGCTATTAACAATACAAGATTATAACAATGCTATATACTATTAGCAATACAAGATTATAACAATGCTAAATGCTATTAGCAATACAAGATTATAACAATGCTATATACTATTAGCAATACAAGATCATAATAATGCTAAATACTATTAGCAATACAAGATTATAACAATGCTAAATGCTATTAGCAATACAAGATTATAACAATGCTAAATGCTATTAGCAATACAAGATTATAACAATGCTAAATATTATTAGCAATACAAGATTATAACAATGCTATATTCTATTAGCAATACAAGATCATAATAATGCTAAATACTATTAGCAATACAAGATTATAACAATGCTTAATGCTATTAGCTATACAAGATTATAACAATGCTATTTACTATTAGCAATACAAGTTTATAACAATGCTATATACTATTAGCAATGCAAGTTTATAACAATGCTACAGGTTTATAACAATGCTATATGCTATTAACAATACACATTTAAAACAATGCTAAATGCTATTAGCAATACAAGATTTTAACAATGCTAAATACTATTAGCAATACAAGTTTATAACAATGCTAAATGTTGTAGCAATACAAGATTATAACAATGCTAAATGCTATTAGCAATACAAGATTATAACAATGCTAAATACTATTAGCAATGGAAGTTTATAACAATGCTATATACTATTAGCAATGCAAGTTTATAACAATGCTACAGGTTTTATAACAATGCTATATGCCATTAACAATACAAGTTTAAAACAATGCTAAATGTTATTAGCAATACAAATTTTTAACAATGCTAAATGCTATTAGCAATACAAGTTTATAATAATGTTATGTACTATTAGCAATACAGTTTTATAAATTTATTTGGATTCTGTGCATTCAAACACTGCATGGCTGTTTTTAATTATAGTATTTGGAAAAACCGTAGTTATATGTTTCAGTGTAAATATTATGATAATAAAACTGATTAATGCAAAAACATCAGAATGATAAAAATCATTAGATAGAAGGTTTTAGTATGATGGGAATATGTTCTTTGTATTAGGCATCATGTGTTCTCTCTTGCTGTGTGGGCGGAAATCTGACATTTAAAAACAAAGTGCACATTTTTAGGTGACCATCTTTCTAGAATAATCCTTACGTTGTTTCTTTGAGAGAATAAGAGCTTAAAAGAGAAGTTTAAACCCAGCCTAAGCTCTTATAGCTTAGGCTGGGTTACAGCTGGCCACAGAGGGTCAGTCACAGCGGGAGGTGTCTGTAATCTCATGTTGGAAAAGGCTCAGGGTCAGGAGGTCACTGCTGCCATCAGACCAGATGACAGATGTAAAGTTTGAAGTCCCATCTTCTATTTGCAGTCATATAAAACAGATGTTTGTAATCACTTTTAATAATAAAAGCTGACTGTGACACACTGAGTCTCTGTCACCGCTTGTTTTGATTTAAAAACTGTGACTATTCTACAACGCAGACTTCTCTTTGCAGTTAACCAATTCTGAAGCAGAGAAAACTAAATTAGAATTTTTAGGATTATTTAATTTGTAAAGAGGAACAGAGAACACATAAATGGGACAAATCGCATTCATGCAGGAAGAATTTGCACCCAAGGAAAGATGTCAA